ACTAGCCCTGCAGCTGGCCTGCTGGACAGTGAGCTCCATGCACCAGACACCTTGCCCGTCACCATCCTGGGCCCCAGACTGCACACTTGCCACTCTGTTCTGTGTTGATGCAACAATAAACTGTAGGGTAGGGTGGAAGGAAACCTTGGCATTACCCTTTCCCTTTCTGGGCTGCATCTCTCTTCCTCGTTAGGGACATTTCCTCAATTGCTTTCCAAGGATGCTCCCTGATAGTCTCAACTGCTGGGTCACCCCTGGCCCTTGCCACACTGTCATGGTGGTACTAGCCAACCATGACTTGGGAACCTCAACTGGTACCCAAAGAGATCTATGAGTCAACTGAAAATTAAAAAGCTTTCCTCCTCGGCCACTTCACCACCCTCAGTTATTATTCCATTTGCTTCTCACCACAGCCCTGTGTCAAGTGAAGAAAATGACACTCCAGTAAGCTCGGGGACCTGGTTCTATGCTTTGGATTGCAGCAAAACAAGCCTGGAACACCAGTCTTTCAAGTCCTGTGCAATTTGCCTAACAACTTGGTCCTCAAATAACACACACTAAGTACATGATCTTCAATTCAGAAGCCAGGTGCTCACTGCCTGCCCAGGCCCTGCACAGTATCTGCAATGATCCATGCTTGATAAAAGACAGTGATGGGACAAAAAACAATCATTTAGCATGGTTTAAATCCAAGGTCTGCCACCCATCAACTGTCACTTCTGTTCAACTGGGAGCCCATTTCCTCAACCAGAAAGTGTGACATTGGGTTCCATGTGAATTCAATGATTTCACGTATGTGAAGTCCGTAACACAGTCCTAGCACATACAAATGCTCAGTAAGTGGAAGCTATAAAGCACCACACATGTGACAAACACTGATTCAGGCACTAACTACTACAGGAGCCAGGAAGAAAAGAGAAGCAGCTGACACACACGAGGTCTTCAGAGGGTGGGCAGAGCTCACAGGTGTCTGCTCACAGGGACATGGGCTGTCTGGGGAGGCTATCAGGCCTGCAGAGCCGGCTCAGGGAATGCAGGTCATCCACCTGTCTGCAGGGATGTGGAATGGCTTCCTGACCCCTCCTTGATGACTGCGCTTACCCTTCTGCTCCCCAATGACGCCCTCCTTCACTCCCTTCCCAATGTCCAGCTCTCCCAACCTCTTCCCCGGTGGCTGTGGCTCCTCACCATCCCAGTCAGCTCTTTGCACTCTGCTCTGCGATGCCTATCTGTCATTCACTGTCCTCCCTGATGGGGAGAACCACACCCATCCTTTCCTGGCCGGGTTGGGCAGTGGCGGACCTGGCTATGTGGGCTGTGAGGTCCCCGACGTTCGGAACCTCGGAGGGACTCCAAGGCTGGCCGATCACTCAGAGGGCTTGGTCATGGGCGCGGGATCGGCGCGGGACCGGCAGAGCACGAGTCCGGTTTCCTTGAAACGCAGGAGCTGGGACGAAACTCAAAATCTCAAGAAGTCATGGAAATCAGGACGACGAAGTCTGAGACGCTGGGTACCAAGGAATGGTAGAAGAGGTGGACTGGACTGAGACCAGAATAGGTTGTTTGGATAACTACAAGGCGCACATCACCAAGAAGTGAGAAGGAGCCCGTAGGCGTCAAACTCTGAGGTCTCAGAGTGGGGCTGCGGACCCTTCAAGGGATGGGCGGGGCTCTGGGATTGAGAGGTAAGAACCCCGAAGTGACCCTCAAGATAATGAAACATGGGGATCAGCAGGGCACAGGTTCTCAGAAGACCCCTTTTCTCTGATGCTCCCTGAACTAAGTTCCCTGAACACCCTTTCCGATTCCCTAGCCCCAGCCCACCGCGGTACCTGACTTTCCTGCAGCCAGCTTCAGTCACCTGCCCATTAGAAACATGGCGATAAGGGAGTCGCTCGGGTGGGGGGAAATGGGCGGAGCCAGTCATTCTCGCGAGAGTAGTGTTTTCCTGCCTATATCCTGCGTGGTCAGGAGAACTTCCGGCCTTTCGGCTTTCGGCTAGGAGGAGGCAAAGGTGCAACTTTCTTCGGTCGTCCCGAATCCGGGTTCATCCGACACCAGCCGCCTCCACCATGCCGCCCAAGTTCGACCCCAACGAGATCAAAGTCGGTGCGTGCCCTAGCTGCAGCCTGGGCTGCGGATGGAGCCTCCTCGCTCCTTCCTGCGGCCCTTGCCGCATGTGTTTTCGTGCCGGGCTCCTGGGCCGCGCTTTCTAGAAGTTGTCCGGCGCTGTGTGGCCGGGACAGGGCTTTCCTTTTCCGGGCCTCAGCTGCCCTGCGTGTAAATGGGGAGGGAGGACCGGACGACCTGCGGCGGCCTTGCAGCCTGCGTGCCTGCCCGGGCCGCTTGCACCTCCCGGCAGAGGCTCGGCGCTGCTCGGAGAATAGCCATTGACTGGCGTGGGGAGAAGCCTGTGGTCGGGCCCGGTCCGCAGAGGCTCTAACCCTCCCTCTCTCCCAGTGTACCTGAGGTGCACCGGTGGTGAAGTCGGCGCCACGTCTGCCCTGGCCCCCAAGATCGGCCCCTTGGGTCTGGTAAGTCACCCCCGCCGAGGGTCGTTTGTTTCCCTACGTGACAGCAGAGTTGAGCTCTGGTTTGTGCAAACGCGACCGTTCCCTGCTGTGCTGGCACTGGCCACCATAAATGTCACACGTGGAAACTTGAGACTTGGCATTGTAATCTAACTGCTCCTTTTGGTTTTAGTATTCCTGAGAGCTGGAGTAAGGAGGGGCTTGAGTCTGGTGACATTGAGCAGCCGACTAATTATCTTCTTTCCTGGATGGGGACTTGGGCACAGCAATATTAGATAACGTGGGGCAGGGCCAGGAATATAACTCAGTGGTACAGCGCCTGCCTGGCAAGCGCAAGGTATTGAGTTCGATTCCGGCACCAATAAGAAAAGGTGACTAGGGGTCCTGGCAGGCATAGCGGCTTGTTGCTTTCTCAGTGATCCTGTCCCCATTGCGTTTTTCCTTTGGCTGAACATTGTCTTATCCTGTCTCCTTGGCCCTTAGTTCTGCCGGCATCAAGGAGGGACACTGTTTAGGTCACTGAGGAATTTTAAAGTAGCAAATGCTCGGATCTCTGTTCTTTTTTTTAAGGAGAAAAAGAAAAACAAAAAGGGTACAAGTTATACAGAATTTCAAAAAAAAAAAAAACAGGAAATCACTAGTTAATAGATTACATATTGTTATCTTAGAAATAGTTGTTCAAGTTACAAAATTAAAGCATAGGGGGCTGGGGATTTAGCTCAGTGGCATAAGCACCTGCCTTAGAAGCAGGCCGTCGTAGTTTGATCCCCGGTACGGATAAAAAGCAAAAAAAAAAAAAAAAAAAAGAAAGAAAGAAAATTAAAGCATATAAAGTGGACTTTCAAACAGTGAGACCGGAAACATTTTGTTCAAAGATCCAACAAAACTCAGTAATATGGTTATCTTATACACTTAAATATATAATCAGTTACATTCTTTAGAGCACTTTATTTTCCTTTCTTTTTGTACAATGACAATTACACATTTTGGGTTTTATTACTCCCACAGTTCTTATTACTTTTTTTTGAAGAGAGTAAAACCAAATGTGACAGAACAGAGTCACTCAAATCAAAAGGATGGACATAATAGATAATGTAAAAACAAAATACTAGGTGATCAACAATGGTTACCATACTGCCTCTTGCTATCTTAAAAAGAATTGCCTACATCATCAGTTAAAATAAAATTGAACTAAACAGTAAAGAATAAAACCAAAACATTGGAGACATTATAGGACTTTAAAAGAAGATAATAGTCAACCGGAATGGGCATCATAATGAATCTTATTGTCTTCACAGTTCCTATACTTTCGAACTTGGTACTATCAAGCAAAAAAGAATAGAGGAAAATCATTCAAAGCAAGATGGTGAGGGCTATACAGGGTTTCAAATCAAGTTAATAGGAAATGGATCTCTGTTCTTAACAGCAGGCTTGGATTGGCCTGATGTGAGAGCCTGGCATCCTTAGAACTCCCAGGGAGATTCTAGGGAGGTCAGGGTTGAAAGTGGGTGTTTTACCACTAAGGTCTTTAGCATAAGAGACCTGGTACTTGTGGCCGTGATCCTGCAAGATTTAATTCCCCAGCCTTTGTCCTGTTCATACTAAACAGGGCTCGTGGTGCCTCGATAGTTGGGTACCTGTAGGTGCTTCAGGTGGCTCTGGGCATGCCATGGTTACATAACTTTTATTTCTGCAGTCTCCAAAAAAAGTCGGTGATGATATCGCCAAGGCCACTGGTGACTGGAAGGGTCTGAGGATTACGGTGAAGCTGACCATTCAGAACAGGCAGGCTCAGGTGTGTGCTGCTTGTGCTTGGCTTGAGGGCGGGCAGAGGCAGTAGCTCTCTGGGACTCTGGATCCAGGGTCCTCCCACCAGTGGGGTGCAGTGGTGGGAAGGTTTTGTCAAGAGCAGGGACCTGGCAAAGGCATAGAGAGGTTCAGATGTCAACCCGTCACATATGTGGCATTGGGCAGACCACTTACTATCTCCATCCCTTCCTCAGATTGAGGTGGTGCCATCTGCCTCTGCCCTGATCATCAAAGCCCTCAAGGAGCCGCCGAGAGACAGAAAAAAGCAGAAAAACAGTGAGTTGTTATTTCCTTAGGTTGCTTGCAGAGTGGCTTGTGACAGTGTTGTGCACCCAGTGTTTGGTACACTTGGATGAAACCTGGGGTGGCTGGGTACAGCTGTTTAATGACCTGTGGGCACCTAAGAAGCACCTGAGAAAAGCAGTGGCTTGTGGTCAGGAGGCCATATAGTTCTGATCAGTACACTGGGCACTTTACCAGTGACTTAAGCTTGGGGTTTAAAACTACTGGTCCCTCCTGTGTGAGACAGATGGTGTCGTAATGTACCCCTGGGTTCCCTTAGCCACCCGCCACTGCACCTGACCACTTCCCCGTTGGCTGGTGCAATCCAGTGGTGAGCTGACAGTGACCCCAGCTAAGGAAACAGGGCTGTTCTTGGTGTGGGCGGCCCTGTGCCGAGAGCATGGGCACAGCCCAAGGCAGGTGGGAGGCCGCGCTGTGTGGTCCTTCTGCCATGGCTTGTGACAGCGTCTTTACTGAGTCTTTTCTATTCTACAGTTAAACACAGTGGAAATATCACTTTTGATGAGATTGTCAACATTGCCCGCCAGATGCGGCACCGGTCTTTAGCCAGAGAACTCTCCGGTAAGAGCAGGCAGGAGGTGGGGTGTTGGCATTGGGGAGACCTGAGTGAAGCCCAAGTTTCCTGATTCAGAAGGGAGCGCTAGGGAGTACATTAGAGTGTGGGGTGCCATTCCCTCCCTTGCCTCACCCATCTGTTTTTGATTTGTGGGGAGTTGAGAGAAGAACTCCACTGATGGACTCCTTCGTTGCAGGAACCATTAAAGAGATCCTGGGGACTGCCCAGTCTGTGGGCTGCAATGTAGACAACCGGCACCCTCACGACATCATAGATGACATCAACAGCGGCGCCGTGGAGTGCCCAGCTGTGAGTGACTGCTGTGTGTTCACTTGGGGGTGAGGCCAGGGGCTGGGTGAATGCCTGTCACTAACAGGGCCTTCTTTCTCTCCACAGAGCTAAGAAGCATAATAACAGTTCAATAAAAAGATGGTCTGACAGCCAGCTGTCTGCCTGCCTGCTTGAGGGTGGTTAGTGGGGCCATGGTGGCAGGACCTGTAAGGTAATCTGGGTGACATTCTGCTCTGTATGGGACTGAGCATTGCCTTCTGCAGACACTTAAACATTCTTAGGCAGAAAGCCCTTCACTTCCAGTGGTTTAATCTGGGAACCAGGACACCATTAGCACAGCCAGGGGCTCAGGCACTGATGGCAAATGCCTGGTCCCTGCTGGAGCCCTGTGAGTACTGGCATCTGTGTGGTAACTGCAGCCTGCCCTCCACATTAGTATGGTAGTTTCCTGGTTTCAGGCTTCACCTGAATGTTCCCTGCAGCCCTGTGCTCATTGCCTTAGAGTTTCTTCCTGGCCCTGGGACAGACTTAAGCAGCTTGAAGTGCTCTCTGCAAGGGTTTATGGGTACCAGAAAAGACCTGCACTCATTTTGCTGGTAGTTCCTTTAAATCACCTTAGGTATGGGCTGAAAGAGTGGATGAAGTAAAACAATATCCTGCGTGGGAGAAATGAAGCCTGAGCAGGTGGTCCCTTCCAGCAGGCCTGTGGTGTGTACTGGAGATGGTGCCAGGTGACAAACTAGGGGCATGGGCAGGCAGTGCTCAGGTCTGCACAGGACAAAAGTAGGCGAGCAGAGCTCTTCCATCAGGAATAAGGCTGCTGCAGCCCGGAACTCGCCTGCTCCCTCCCCAGCATCACTTTTTAAGCTTTTTTTTTTTTTTTTCTTTTTCTTTTTTTTTCCCTTCGGGAACTGAGAATCAAACTTGGGATCTTAAGCTTGTGCTGCCAACCTATTTCCCTGGCCCCAGTCTCCACGGCTCATTGTTTTGACTTCTCCATCCTTGGGTTTCTTAAAACACCCTGCCTCCTGATGCGGGGTTACATGTAACTCGCCTTCATAGTCAGCCAAGGCTCTTTCCTCACTTATATCCTTGGGCTGGAGACTTCAGAGTGTGGGGTTCCCTAGGTCCTTGGCACTGAAGATGCTGTGGGGGGAGTCCTTGCCATTTTGCCTGCAGGGTGCCTGGGAGGCTGCTCTGATGCTGAGAGCGGGAAGCAGTAACTGAAGGTTTTGCCACACTTGCTGCATGGGAATGGGTCAGGGCCATGAAACTCCTGCAATGTGGGAAGCACTAGGAACTGGCCCTGCACCTGGAGGGGCTCCGTGAAAGCACTGGCCTCAAACTGGCGCTTGGCCCTGGCTCCCTGGGGACATTGCAGAAGCTGCCAGGCCTGAGAGGGGTGGGGCGTCCTTCAGGCTGCACAAGTCCAAAAAGGAGTCTGGCCTGGGTCTGCTGTGAACAGGTGTAGGGGTTCCTCCAGTCACCCAGAACACTTTTGCTATAAACCAGAAACCAACAGGGCTTCTCAGAGACTCGGGCTGTGCTGCCACAAACCTGCTTTCCTCCTTTACTGAGATGGCAAGGGGAAGAAGTGGTTGAGCCTCCCATCCCCATGAGGGTCCTTGACACTCCTAGTCCTCTCTGTTCTTGCCAGAGCCCAGGCTGTCCTGCGTCTTCTCATGCTCACAGTTCTTGGTAAGGTTTGAAGTGACTTAATTACAAGGGTTTTTTTTTTGTTTTGTTTTGTTTTTTAATCCATACCAGGTATCAAACTCTAGACCACACGATTGCAAGGCAGGTGCTTATGTCACTGAGCTAAATTCCCAGCCCCTAATTACAAGGTTTAAGTGAATTTTAAAGAGCAGCTCACTAGCTGGATGCAGTGGCTCAAATTTGGAATCTTGGCACTTTAGGGAGGCTGAGGTAAAAAAGTTTTCTTTTTTTTTTTTTTTTTTTTTTTTTGTCTTTTCCATTTTTATCGGTACCAGGGATCGAACTCATGACCGCCTGCTTGTAAGGCAGGTGCTTATGCCGCTGAGCTAAACCCCCAGCCCCCGGTAAAAAAGTTTTCAAGGCCAAGTCCTGCCCAGGCACTTAGACCCAGGCTTTCGGCTGTAATGTGTATAATAGCACCTAACCTGCAGGGATGTTAGTGTACTCAGTCACTACTGGGTGTGTCAGGAGCTCACTGGTTTAAATGCTTGTTAATCTGAGCAGGTACCTGCCTAGATCATCTCCAGCATCCAGAGAACTATTTTTTTGTTACAACTGTAAGTTCATGCCAGGACACTGGGAGTCCCTTGTCAAGGGGGAAGAAAGATTCTGAGATGGGAATCCGCATCAGCAGCCAGAACTCAGGTGGACACAGGCCTGTGAGGTCCACTGCACTCAGCCAGCACTTGCTGAGCAGATGCAGCTGAAAGACTGCCCCATGCTGTGGGTAAGCATTTCTGGAAGGAGTGAAACAGCCTCAAGGAGGGGTCAGGCAGGGAGCTAAGGACCCTAGCTGGAAAGAGGGGGACTTAAGGAGCACAGAGGAGCTGACCTGAGGAAAACTCATGTGCACCCCAAAAACAGGCTGGGGTGCAGCCACGGGGAAAGCAGAGTGAAGGTGCTTGTTTGCCACAAAGGTCCTTAGAGGGCCCCAGGAGCAGTGAGCACCCTTTAACACCTCTCTTACAAATCACCCTGGAGGGGGCTGGGGATTTAGTTCAGCAGCGTAAGCCTGCCTTGCAAGCAGGCAGTCGTGAGTTCGATCCCTGGTACCGATAAAAATGGAAAGTAGAAAGTATAACATATACTTTTTATCAGTAGGCAAAATTTAACAGGTCCCTGGTAGTTAAATGGTGAAAACAAAACTAAGTGTTCATAACCAGGCGCAGAGATAGGAAAGCCAGATTTTCAGAGCAAGTACCGCAGAGGCCGCAGCTAGCTGATGCTGCAGGAAGGCCTTCTGCTGAGCAAGGGGCTGTGTGCGGGCTGAATGCAGCGGTTCAATCCAGGCACGTGGTGGGCTTAGAAAGCTGACGGGTCACTGTGACCAAGTGCTGAGCCTTCAGTCCTTGGCAGGGGACCCCAGCGGAAGTCTGATGTATCCTGAGGCGGAAGGGAGGAGGTCAAGCACCTAGCAGGGTCCTGCTCAGAGACAGCATTCTTGTAAGAGGCACCCCACTGGGACTACGTATGATGAGCAGTGTGGTCCACATGTGTTTATCTTCTGGCAATACTGGAAATTAATCCAGGGCCTCATGAAAGTGAATGTTGACATTTTAAAAAATTACAGTAAAAGGCATGTCTTAATCTTCAGAATATTCCCTCTTGCTTTGAACACACCCCATCATTCTTGGTGCTTTGTTTTTATCTTTTGTTCTATGGGACAAGGTCCCACCATGTAGCCCAGGCTGCCCGCAAACTGGTGATCCTACCTCAGCCTTCTGAGAGCTGGGATCACAGGTGTTGCCCCTTTGCTTGGTTCTAGAAGTCCCCTTTCATGAATGTCTTTATTTGTGCTTCATTCCAAATGATTCAAAATGCTCACCTTTTCCAGTCATTCAGACAAGGGGGAGAGGTGGGAGCAAGGTGGACAGAGACATTCCAGCTTTCACATCGCCTTCCCCTCGGACAGTGCTTGCACTGGCCAGCAGCAGTCACATTTTCACGGACGTACTGTGGAGGAGGACTTCCAGAACTACTTCTGTCCACAGCCAAAACATTCCAGTGTAAATGAGAAAAATACCAAAAATCCCTTAAGATTTCAACTCAAGAGGTTAAAAAAAAAATAGTTTTCTTTTGCATTTTCTGTTTTTTTTTTTTTTTTTTTTTTTTTTTTGGCTTTTTCCTTTTTATCGGTACCAGGGATGGAACTCACAACTGCCTACTTGCAAGGCAGGCGCTTATGCTGCTGAGCTAAATCCCCAGCCGGCTTTTTCCTTTTTACCGGTACTGGGGATCAAACTCACGACTGCTTGCTTGCAAAGCAGGCGTTTATGCCACTGAGTTAAATCCCCAGCCTCCCAAAAAATTTTAAAATAACTAAAGAGAGCAAAAGCCGGGAACTAATAAAGAAAATAGATGAGTATGGTGGTGCAAGTTCGTAATCCCAGCACTTGGAAGGCTGAGGCAGGAGGATCACAGCAATTCTGAGGCCACCCTGGGATAGTGAGTTCAGGGTCAGCCTGAACTACAAAGAGAGACCCTGTCTTGAAAAACAAAAAACACAACAAAACAAAAATACTAAGTGATGAGGAAATCTAAGAGCTAATTTTTTTTTTTGTACCAAGTATCAAACTCATGACCTCGTGCTTGCCAGGCAGGCGCTTATGCTGCTGAGCTAAATCCCCAGCCCCTTCAAGAGCTAAAGTTTTAAAAAATAAAAGTAAACACACCATTACCTAATCAAGTCAAGAATAAAGGAGAAGAGTTCTTACTCTCTGATAGAGCTAGAATAATGTACTAGAGAGCCGGGTGTGGTGGGTCATACCTGTAGTCCCAGCACTTGGGAGGCTGAGGCAGGAGGATTGTTGCGAGTTTGAGACCAGCCT